TAGTATAATCTCAAACACCCCCAACCAAACTGTAATCCTAACTTTAGGCCTAGTATTATCCCTACGCTAACCCCAGATCCTTTGAAAATGCATGTAAGATCATCAAAATGGATGGGTACCTATACCCATGTCTTGGTCCTTGTACAAAAGTAGACGATTTAAGAATGGAATACTTCAGACTATTTCCTAACAAACAACCAAGATTCAATATCAAAAAGGGCAACTTTCTAGTGACCATCCAACTAAACATAATAACGTCCTTGGGTGAATCCATGCGGCAGCATGTTCCCATCAACCTTTTAAGGCCGCCACCACTTATAAATACGCAACGCTTTTGTATCCGCCTAAATACATCTGATTATCTTGATCAATAGCCCGGAAAATTATTTTTTTTTCGCAAAATAGAACATAAGTTAGCAAGCTTAACAGTCGGAATGTATTACTGTTACAAGCATTAACTTCCTATTCTCATAGGGCAGCATTTCAAAAGTCATCGTATCAGTTGAAGATGCAAATGCTTAAGTGAATGAACTCTGGGTCAGGCGGGTTGACGATGAGACAGCCCCTTAGGTGTAATTACTCTATTGTGTACTCTCAGTTGGTCTAAACAGTTACACCAAGAACATTCCAATTTCGCCATTTCGCCTTCTGATCGTACACAGTCTATTTCCTGAAGGCAAACATGTCCGATGTTTTAATGACAGAGGAATTGCACCTCACCGCAAGGACTTACTATGCCCGGAGGTGGAAGGAGCCAGATAAGGAAACCCAAGCAGAGACCAACGGCAGCACCCAGGAGCGGCCAAGGACTCAGCCAAGTTGCCCTTTGAGAATGCAACTGAAAAGGCCACTCCAAAGCCCGTAATGGACACCACATCATCCATGCTGCAGGCAGCTACTGTGATTGTGGGAATGCCGTGTTTCACCCCCCAACCCGCCTGCTCCAGGCGTATCATATTAGACACCACAACCGCCGGTGAAATCGCGGCCAAGACAAACCTAGTAAATAAAAAATCGGCAGGAGTT